ATCCATCAGAGCAGTCTGGATCTGAGAGGCCAGACCTCACCTTGGAAGGAAGGTGCAACAGACAACCTGAAAGGGGCAGCTGGAAAAAGGCCTGCCAGCTACGGGAGCTCCTTATTAACCTCTGTTATTGACTCAATGTGGTCTCAATGATACTACAAAAATGTCTTTGTTTTTCATTCATATGAAATAGCGTGTTGTATAATATTACTGTGGACACCTTCCCTATCCAAACTTATTTGAATCCTACTAAACTGTTGACACCAGAGATCTTCCGGACATGTCTTTTGCAGGTTAACTAAGACTGAAAAATCAGCCATTTCAAGTGCATGGTTAGAGTTATATATCAATAGTTAGGAATATATTAATTATATTTTATAGAAAGCATGTACAGTGCTACATGCATTACCAATTATAATTTGCAACAATTATTATTGCATGTTCTAATCAACAGAAATGTTTACTGGTTTGAAAATTTGCCCACTTAGCTGTGCATCTGAGAAAATGATCTAGGGCAACTTAAGGCTTGCACATTTGAAGGTTGCTTGCAGAACCAAGAGTTGCAAAGATCTCTCTTTTGTTACCAAAAGGAAAACTGCTTCCTTTTGGTTACTGCATTTAGGCTAAAACAGCTATAAGGAAATTTAAAATGGACCCCCTAGATGGCTAATTTGTGGCCACTTCCCATCACTGAAACCAGGCACATGAAAGGAATTGCAGGTTTCTTTTTTAATTCCTCATATCATATTTGTTTTTTTTTTTTTTAAATGCTGTTTTATTTTCTGAAGAGTTGCAAACAGTTCAGTTGGTCTAGGTTTGCAAAGAAAACTGCATTAAGAAATTTTGAGGATGAGATCACGGCATGCTTGTATATATAATGTTCTCTTGAAAATGGGCAGAAAGCACTGACATGCTCCAGTAATCAGTAAGAAGTCTGCTCACTGAATTAAAAGCAGCTTGACTGAAGTGTGCAAAGAATGAGTCACAGATCATGATGACCGATGCCTTTTAATTATTTGAACATTGGCCTCCAGTTTAAAGTTGAAGAAACTGGGTCACACGGTTTGTTTGAATAATTAAATCTTACTGCTATCCTTTCTCCTTGGTACCATCAGTGCCTGGATGAAATTCTCGCTTCACTGAAGTCAGTGGCAAAGATCCTGCTGATTTAGATGGAAATAATGTTGTACACTTCAGTATCTACTCCAGCTTCTTAGTTCTCAGTCCCCGTCTTGTGCCTTTTTTAGACTCTTTTTCCGAGCTCCAGCACTTGCATTGATTCTCCTACTGCCAGCCTCGGCTTAAGTGTATACAGTTAAAATCTTATTGCAGAGCTCTATAATTTTGGATCCATTGGGCTTTGAATGGGATGTAAGAAAATTTAAGTGTCAGTCAGAGCCCTTGATAAGAACTGGTCATACTCTGATTCCTTGGAGAAAGGTGGTATTGTCAGCTTCAGAGATGCTCCAAGGACCTGGGCGACCTGGCCTTTGAGTCTGTACTGGATTAAACTAGATTTGAGACCCAGGCTGCTTTAAATCCTGATCAGCTCCAGGACATGTGCCCTGAACCCAGGGCTTTGCCTGCGGTGGGGGAATTTATCATGGGACTGTGCAGGGTCCCCTGGGTCAGGTAGCGGAAAAATGAATTGTCCTAAAAATGCCAAGTGCATGTGGGGAAATGGAGACTCAGAATGGAGGGCGATGGGGAGCAGGGGCCCTGGAAAATGCCAGTTCTGCAGGTGGAAAACAAAGTGGAGGGATATGGATGGGCAGGTCTGGATGCCCCTCATAATTCCTGTGCTTCTGTGTGTGCATGCCGCAGCCCTGGGCTTGCCTGTGTGTGAGGAAGAGCTGCAGACACTTTTTTTTCCCTCCAAAATGAGAATTTGGGGTGTGCTCTTAGCACTCTGATAGCTCTACTGAGCTGCAAGATTGAGCTGTGGTCTTTAATTACATGAAAACCATTTTAATTAGCAAACATCTGACACCCATGAATTCATTAGCAGAACCGAAAATAATTTTGAGTGCCACTGTGAACATCATGTTCTAAGTTTATATCACTTAAACCTCTGGAGCATATTCAGTTCATGGCTGCAATGTAACTTAAATCCTTTAGATGAGTCTTCTTATTTCTTTGCAGCTAAACGTAAAACACCGTGGACGACCTGCTTCATCGCATTTATGGGCATTTGGAAAAAGTGCCTTTTTACTCAACCATCCTCTGTGCTGCAAGATCTCCTAGTCCTGTCAGCCGGGTCCTGCCTTATCTTGGCCATGGTGGTCACATCTGTGTGCAAGGAAAGGGAAAAGGAGCTGTGATCATGAGCAGACAAGCTGTCCATCTCCTCACCTCCACTGCAGGAGGGATGCATGGGCACGCAGGGCTGGTTGCTGCCACAGGTACGTGGGCTCTCCTGTCTTTAATATGTGTTTATCCACAAACCCTCACCCAAATGAAACTTCCCCAGCAGATGCTCCCATGGATTAGCAGTCACTCTTTGGGTACTAGTGGGAAGTCAAGTGAGCGAACAGGAGGACAAATCATAGAAACATTATGGTTGGAAGATCCTTCAAGATTATCAAGTCCAACTGTAAACCTGATTGCAGCTCTGCAGAAGAGCCCCAGATCTGTGTGGCAAATATCTGCCCTGGGCATGCCAGACCACCTTCCCCTTGGGCATGTAGGACACCTAGGACAGCTGGTGGCAGGATTGGGCCCTGTGGGAAGAGCGAAGTTGTTTGCTTAGAAACATAGGGCCCTTGGGAGGGCGGTGGAGACTTGCATTAGGTATTTGGCATTTTGTCATCAAAAGCAAATGTAGGATTAATGTAGCACGAGCTGTGCAACAAGGCAAAATCATCTCTTTTAAAAACCTACTGTCTTAAGTAGTGAGGAGGCCTGGGGAGCATGGGACCCCTGTCTGGGCCTTGCTAGGAAACTTGTTAATCAATACAAAGGCCTTTCTCTGCACATTTCAAGCATTTCCAGGAGAAGGTCTTCACTATCAAATCATCTGAAAAGGAGAAATAAATCCCCCTCAATGGCATTACTGCAAAAGAGTATTTTTTTTTCAATGAAACTTTCAATTTCCTTTCTACATATCCATAGGCCAAAATAAAAACAAACACACACTTATCTTCTCAGCTTAAAGACAGGTAGGAAAAAGCTTGAAGGTTTCAAAACAGAGGCCTAGCCTTGCAGGAAAAAAAATAAAAGGAAAAATCCCAAGAGTAAAGAACTTCTAGAATTCCAATATCAGTAGTTATTAGTTTTCATATCTTCCCATGTCTTTCAGAAGTAGAGTTCAGAATCAAAAGCAGCTGTCACAAATGGAAAATTGTCTAATGCATTTCACCTTAAAAAGTTAGCGTGCTATTTATAATTTCTTCACAAGTGATTAGAAATTGTAATTTCTCAAATTTCTGAGCAAGCCTTATTATGCTATTTAAACTGCAGGTGGGAAATGCAACACAAGGAGAATTCACATGTGTCTCTTCACCCTTCAGTGCCCTCTCTGCAGCCCTTTCCCTTCCTCTTTGCTCTCCCTCTTACCCTGCTCTGGGCCACAATCTACCCTTATCTGTCCTACAGCTGCATGAGTTAGATCTACTCAGAGTTAATTAAAGTAATCAAAAAAGGATTATCCGGTTGTGTAAAAATCTATCATTTTAAAATGAGAATACAAATATTAACATGAGAAACATTGACCAAAAATGCCTCTTCTTTTTTTTTTTTTTTTTTTTTTTAAGACATTGCTTCTTGACAGTGACTTAGGAACAATTGATTTATTACTGATTTTGTGGTTGGTCTTCAGGTGGATTTTCACACTAATAGGAACAAAAAGCTGACAGTAAGTTCGTGTCAGGTGCAACAAAAATTTTGCTTGGCCCCAGCAAAAATTTTTTGGTGTTTATTTTCCTGTAACTTTAAAAACAGAAAGATTAGAAAACCACCTAAACAAAGGGTTGCTGTGAAGTGTAGAGAATTCATTCAGAGGAGGTTGAAATAAACATTTACCAGTCAAGAAAAACTGTCTTCATCAGAATAATTAACTGAAATCAATCTGTATTATTTGACTGTTTTGCAGACTGACTCCCTACCAGAAATCCCTCTTCCTCACCTCCTGTTTTAGGGGTAAGAAAATGTAAATGTGGTGGTCCTCATATTCATGATAGAAAACTTTGGTGGAGAGAGGATGGGACTGGTCTCAAGCCATGCAGGTTATGGCAGAAGACATCTCTGGCACTGTTTACTCCTCAGCTACGAGCTCGTGATCCAGGACAGACTCGCAGCTGAGATCTGAAAAGCAATAGCTGTTGCAATGCTGCAACCCCCACCGCCTCACCTCCAACCCCCAAGTTCAGAGGTTAGTAAAGCAGAAAGGAAGAATTTGTAATTGATTCTGCACTTCCATGTTGCTCGCAAGGGATCAAAGCCTGCTCTCTCCGCCCAGTGAGATCCCCACTTGAAATCGGTGGGAGATTGCAGAAGGGCTTCAGGGGTCTAGGAACAACCAGCTGCCTCAAGAATAAAGAAAATAAATCACAGGTGGCAGTTTAGAAAACAGAGTTCAGGGTGAAAGCCTGATGTCTGTGAAGCATAAACTGTGATGGATTGGAAACATGATATTCTCAATATGTAACTATGAATGTTCATATCAGAAATGTGTTTCTAAGCATCATGTGCCACCAGTCCTTTGTAAACCCAGGAGCAGGGGAGACAGAGCCCTTATTTTGTCCTTTGCCTGGGCCAGGATGTCATCTTCCAGTCCTGCCTTTCCCAAAAGCAGAGGCTGCCTCCTTTTCCTCTCCAGTCAGTGAAACAGGCAGTAGAATCCATAAAAGTGCACCAAGATTTCTGTGGGCTTCAGAGCAAAGTAGCGTTTTAAGGCAGGATTCAAAGAAAGATGGTAAGTTAATGTCATGATACTTATTTAGTGAAATTGTCCCACAGGAAGCAAAAATATGAAAGGAAGAGCAGAAGTTTTAGTTTGGAAATGCTCTTCTGGACTGACTGAAAATACCTGACTTCTGGAGTCAGTAGTGAGGTGAGTGAAATGAAGTGAGACTTGGAGTAAGCAGAAGGGGCTTTAAAGCTAAGCTCTGTCACTTATCCTGATTTAATAGATCAGGAATGGTCCATAGAAGTGGGTTATAAAAGCAACTGGGGAAAAGATCTCTGCAGCAGCCTTGTGAGTGCTGAAAACTTCCTTCAGTAATGCTAGAGTAAAAGGGTTTGCTGCTCACCTGAGAGGAGCTGGAAAATATAGCTAGGTCATACCACAGATGCTGGAATGGCCTAGTTTAGGTTGAACATCTGGAAGGAGCCTGATTGTGTGGATGGAGTAGCAGCTACAGGCAGACAGTCATGCTGTCAACTCAGTAAGGTGCCAGGCAGGGCTCCAGCTGCTGTTCATTGAGATACAGAAAGATGGGACATCTCTGTGGAGAGATGAAACTTGAGGGGACAAATGAAGATTTTGATTGCCCATATTAATCTTCACCCTACTAGTGCTTGTCACGTAAGAGGTCAGGGACATAAGCTGACAAAGAGCTGTGTTTTGACAGAGACTAGAGCTGGACAACAGTTCTAAATTAGGACTAAGCAAATGAACAAAGATAGAAATTACCCTCTCTTCCTAAGCCTCAGGCATTGACTTACTGTTTTCTCTGCCTTTCCACTTCCTTGATTTGTGTGAGACTCCAAAAGGAAATGTCAAAGGCTGGTTTTCGAGCATTTCCAAGATAGATAAAATCACAAAAACTACCAAAATTAGCTTTGTTAATATTCTTGGCATGTTTTTTCCAGACTAACTTCTAGACCAAAAAGTGATTTTAATCTAGACATTTGGATACCTTCCAAACATCTGGACTTCCTTGAAGTTAGCTCACATTTACTCTATCTACATTGGTTGTTTTCCTGTTGTACTATTAAAAGAACCACTAAAATATTTAAGTGCTGGAGGAATAGATTTATGGAGAGTTTTATGGGGAACAAAATACACGCACTTGTCCAGGTGTGATTAAAGAGGGGCCTATGATGAAATTTATCTTCTAGTCATAATGTCCACTCAGAAAGAGAAGCATCTCTGGGACAAAATCAGTATGTAATTAGATGGAGCACTGTTCAGACTGAGCCTGTGGTTCTTCAGTCTGCCTTGGTTTCTTAAGCATTTATGCATCTCTGATTCTTCTTCTTTCCTGCTCTATGTTTTCTGTTTATTGTCTGGGGAGAGCAGCTGGAAATTTTCTTAGTATGCTCATTATAAGCTGCTGTAATATAGGAAGATCAGCTAGATCAGTTATGACTTCAATTAATAGTCGTCAGAACTTCCAACATGGCTAGTAATGCCAGAGTAGTTTTATAAGGAGGAGGACACAGAAGATCTAGCAGTTACGTTGGAAGGAGTATAAAGAAAGAAGCAGTATCAGAAAACTGGGCTTTATTATAAGCTAGGAAAAATAACGCAATATATTCAGAGGAAGAGGGACAACAGGACCTGGGAATGGAGTAATGGAAAGGTATCCAAGCACCTGGTGCTTTGGTGTGCTGAGGAGAAAATCACATTGTGCTGCACAGGAGGAATGAGATGATGAAACGCATCTCCCAACTAGGTCCTTTGGCAGACCAAAACACTCTTCTGTTTCTTTCTTGTTTCCAATTTATCTTAAGAAGTAATCAGGGATCTTCCTGAAATTACATAGGAGAAATGGAAAAAGAATAGTAGGAAACAATAGCTGGAAAGATGAAGAACAAGGAGATGGGAAAGATCAGGATATTAATCTTACCAGGTGCTCAAAGGTCATGCATGTAAAAATTAAGAATTTCTTGTTGCAGCTGTCACTTCTCTCATTGCTGCTTACATTCTTGTTGAAGTGTTCTTTTTCTCAAATATCTATGGAGAACTCAATGTTGTATTTCTCAAGGCAGTTGGTGGATCTCTGATGACCTGTTTGATGATGTTAGTAGATTTGGATTGTTGCACACTATGCAGAAAAACTTCTTCAATTAGAATAAAAATAAGCTTGCAGTTGATTCTTACCTTGTGTACTCAGAGCTAGTTTTGCACTGGCTTCATGAAGTTTATCCACATTACATTTTCAAAGGGATCCATCGCACCTTGTCTGTATGGCCTACTAAAGCATTCCTGCTCTCCTTGACAAAGAAACAGTTTGAACACAGTCTGTGACCTCTGACTGACCAGAGGTGAATGAATACTAATTTTCTCTGTTTATACCCTTTGATATAATGAAATCTTTAGATAATCTAGTGTTAAAGTGAGCTTTTTGTAGTCACTGTCTGGTAGATACTGTGGCAGTAAAGCAGGTGTAAAACCCAAGTAGAATGGTAAGAGAGTCTGCATGTGGAACTGCGGCTTTTCTGAAAAGCTGAAAAATTCAGAATTTACAGATCCTTGTTGCTGGCAACTTGATTTTTTGCCATCTTGTTTTTTTCAAAGGTTGCCAGGAATAAAAATTTTGTAAGTGTCACGTGATGCTCTGTGTATTTATGGTGTTAAAAAAATTTCGGGGACAAGAGTTCCTTTCTGTATGTGCAAATTATGTGTTCCTTTCAGGTTGTAATTGGGACTTTGGCTTCATTTTTGGAACACTGTGTCCTTTGTGACTTGTTTTAATGTTTTGGTTTTTCCATTTTATGGTGGTCATAACTTGTTTAGGACTTTATTCATAGCCCAAGAAAAATAAGCGTTATACAAAATACTTCTGGTCTTCAGTGATGTAATAATTCAATTGAAGCTATGTTACTTGTGGTATTGCACATGGAAGTCCCCAAACAATGCAGCTATGCAGTTGGATAAATAGTAGTGTGAGCGATAAAGGTGCTTTCTGCACACCTCTGAGCTTGCAGGAAAAGATTTTAGATGGATGAAGTGGCAATCAAATCTACCAGGTCAGTATAATGGGGCAGGAAAATGGCTTTATTCTTTTCTTTGTAGAGAAAGGAAAGAAAGGAAAGCATTGTAGGAGCATCAGGAGACTGGTGTGGAACATGAATTCCTGGAGAGTATCAGTGCCTGACTCAAGTTTGGGGGAAATTGCTAAGTCTTGTGTGATCATATAAGGCAATTCTGGGTGTTCTAGGGAATCTGGGAGCATGCCATGTTGCTATTTTCCTATTTTGAATATTGATATTTTGAAAAGAATACTGAAACAGGTAGAGTTTACCTTCAGAATTTTAAATGCAGTCCGATTACAAACACAGATGCCCTGCTTGGGGATTATCAGTAGGGCCAGTACTGCCAGATGGAGCAGGGGGAGAAGTTAAAATTAATAGAAATATAGTGAAGATCAGAAAAAGAAAAGAAAGGAAACAAGATGCTGCTTAGAGTGCATTTATTACTATAATCAGGAATATATCCAAAATGATGAACTCAGAACTATTATTACAAACTAGAAAAAAATTATATTGCAATCAAAAATTCCCTGCAATAATTTAAAATATATTCAATCAACCTAGATTTGGTAACGCTGACATTACATATGACAGGAAAATTTGACACATCTATTTGACTTCATTCTTTCATAATTTTTTAACTTGATTTTTTTTTCTAAATGGTGGCAAGACATAGACTAAGAATATGACGCTTCAGTATTTTCAACTTTTTAAATCTGAAAGTACTCCTGTATGTGTGTATTTATAAATATATACATATGTATTTATGCATTCATACATGTAATTGTATACTCTGCAATCAGCAAAAATGCAGCTGTGCTTGCAGCAATAGTCTTGTAAACAGAGCATGTTAAATATTTGCTGTGGGACCTTTTTGATGTAGGTGGTGTAACTGATAAGCCTTAAGGGCTTTGAACTGTAGGCAGAGAAATTTTAGATCCACAAAAAGACTCACTTGTCAGCTCCTATCTAGTGGGCAATGGAATTTCTTTTTAAAGAATTCTCTAACCCCATTAGTTTGCTGTCTAATCACAGAGATGCCCGGTATCCATACACATCAAGCTGACACAGTACATTTTCCCAAGGTCCTAGTGGCTGCCTCCAGACGTAGCCTTAGGCACTTTAACTGGGATTTAAGCAGATTTTAGACACATAATTCCAAAGCAGTTTGAAATGCCCTTGTCACTTGAACCCTGCTGGTATCTCACTTTTTAATTAAAAAAAAAAAAAAAAATCCTAGTTGCCTCTTTTTGGCAAGGCAGGGTAATTTAAAACCTAACTCATATTCGAGCCTGCTGGAAGGAAGAACTAGATGTCTTTGCAAACAGCACAGCTAGGTCTGAAAGGTGTTCCCAGGGCACACCTAACTTTCATCAAAGGGATTAATGTTCTCATAAAAAAAAAAAAAGAAAGCTTTAAATACCTATTTATTCAAGAACACAATAGAGGAGTGATGGAGGATGGTGTATAAGAGGGGTAGGTTAGGCTATCACATGGGAGGGCGAACGCTTGGGCTCTTGACTCCACTCCCAAAATTTTGTATATATCTTAAATTGAATTACTGGGTGAAGTAGTGAGTCAGTGATGGGCCATCAGCCATACAAATGAATTACCTTAATGTAGTACAGTTTTCAGACCCAATCTCTTTCTAGGCTGATGAATTTTGTGTATTTTATAGGCACTTCATTACAAAAAGAAGAAGGGCTTGTGACTTGGTTATTGGTGTAGATGGAAGAGCTGTGCTACTGAGGCCAAGGTAGGAACTGTACTTTTGTTTTCTAACCATAACAAATTTATGGAAAACGTTTTCAAAGAGTCATCATAGGCAGTTCACTTTCAGATAGGGTTTGGGTGTATAGATCGAGATAGGTGTGGACATTTGACAGCAATATATGATGGGATTAGGTCTGTTGGTCAGCTTTGGACAGCTGTGGGAGTGAGGCAGCTGCCCACATATCAGGGTAGGTATTTTAGGTCCCTTTTTGATGTCCTCACATTTTATGAGGATGCAAAGAGGCGGGGGCCATGCTGGAGACTGGCTGTACCAGTGTTTCCCGATGTCTGCACCACCAAGAAATACCATAAGCTGAACTTCAAGGTGCCTAGCATTACTAGACTAGCACTAATTATACTGAAGAAATTGTAAGATATGAGAAAAGAAATCTTAGATGCCCTGAATTGAAAACCTCAAATTGACTTGAGTAGAGTCAGACCACATAGTTCAAGACTTGGCTTCTTGCTTGGCTTCCAAGGTTGCTAAAACTTTTCATAAGAGAGCTTTCGTCTTTCCACAAAACTACTCCTATTTCTTCTACGCTCAGCTAATATTCTCCTGGGAATGGTGTCAGTGGCTTAAAAGACAAAATAATACTGGAAAAGCTTTGTGAATTTTACCTATTTTGTAATGTTATTTTAGCAGCTGGAGACAGGGAGGACAGCCAGGTTGATGTGACTGGCCAGCTCTCCTCTACGCAGCTGACATATATTGCCCATAGTTTAAGACTTTCTCTTCTAGACAGTGGTTGCTCTCCAGTGGGTGAACGCGGAAGGAAGGATGCAATATGTGTGTAATTTGCTGTGACTCAGTAATGAAACAATATGCAGTAAAGTCATTAACAGTTCTAAAGTTTACCAAAATGAAGGCTGCTGATTTACAGTTTTTTTAATGTGACATCTCTCATTGCACTGGATCAGTCAAGGATATTGTTAAAAAGAAGTCAGAATGACTGAAATGGGCCCATTAGCAATCATTTGGCAAAAGATGAACTTAGAAGGTTTCTGTGTCTGTGTTTTGCTATTTCTTTCTTTTTTTTTTTTTTTTTTTTTCTATGAGAGCAACACTGGTGTTTAGCTGGTCATTACTCATGGCTTTTGTCTTGAATAATAATACCTATGTAATAGCTTTGCTGATCTCATAGTGCTTCTGCAAGCTGATCTGTAGGAAATGAGCAAGAAACAGATCTTTCCTGTAGCACCATAGACAAATTGAGGTTTTGTGGCTAAAGGGAAGAAGTGATTAAAATGTGGCCTCATGCAGTGATCTGGATGAATAGTATCAACTGATTGTACTTTGGAGGCTCTTCTAGGTCCTGTATGAAGTGTTTCCAGAAAGGCACACAAGTCTCTCTTCATCAGACCTGAAGGATTCTCAAAACTGGTCTAGGGTCAAAATCAACATAAGAGAATATATTCATCTTGAACAGCATCATAGCATAATCTAAGTCTCTCTGAGATTAAAGATTAGGATGATCATTTAATATCTCCAGCAACCTTGTCGGCTAATGCAAAACACAATTAACTAGCTAGAAATATTAAAGCTTTTGGTCAAGCTTCAGTGTGTTTCTTTATGAAGATATTGGGAAAATCCAGTGAGAGAAAGAGGTCATAGGGAAAACATGGGCCAATTCATTTTATAAAATTCTTCCATACCTGCATTTTGATCCTCAAATTTCCTAGAATGTCCTAGAAACATGAACCTTGCTTATATTGTTGGAATGAGGAAAAAAAAAATAGAAATATTCTCAGACATTTCTTCTCAGGCAATTAATATGGTCATTATTATCAAATCCGTATCTAGCTCTAGGTAAAGCTGAACAAATCCATTTGTCTTACACACATAGCAGATGTGAGAACTCATTTTCAAGAAGAAATGAATGCTAGTTGGAAGCAAGGACTAAAGGTAAATTTAAATCATCTTGGAGGTTCCTTAACAAGCTTTTATAGTTTGAGCTTGGACCTGCAACCTCAGATTTCCAGAGCTGCATGGGAGCTGGCCAATGGCTCTGCTAAACTGAACATCTCACCAGGTCCAGATTTTCAAATTTGCCTTGATGTCTTAAAAAAATACAGAGGGAACCTTCACTAAATTTTAATAGCATTCCATTTAATAGACAGCTGATTTTGATCCTAAGTTATGATAGCAAATAATGATGGACAAATTTGTAAACCCTGTTAGGTACTGCCTGCATCTTCAGTCACCAAAACACCTTTGCAGGCATTTTGAATACTGTGTGAATTTTGTCAAAAATCTGGGAAGTTTTGGATTTGACACAATTCTCATTGCTCCTGTTTGGCTACAGAGTACTATGAAGACCAGTATATCCAGTTCCAAAAGTCTGAACAAGAGAAAATAAATTTTGGCTAAGTGCACTCTCATAAACCATGAGTCAACCTTGCTACCTAAATTTGGACTTCAAATTCTTTCAGAATATTACCTTTAAAACTAATAATTTCATGGCTGAAGATACATCAGTGTTAATCAAGTATTTTATTATATTTTTATATAATACTATTATATAGGAGACTATTTTAAGATAAAACACTATATTAAAAGAGTTTCAAAGGAAAATGGGAGTAGAAATGCAGTATTTTTTTACCGTAAATCCATTGACTATTTTCTGAGGATCATTCAGTTTTATAGCTTTGTAGGTTTACATCCAACACTCCATCTCTTTTTATTTCTCCTTGTTGTCCTGTGTCAGGATCTTCTCCATCTTTGAATGCCTAAATTTCAGCCCCAGGTTTGACATCTACCTGCTCTGCATGTCTTCCCTCCTAATGTCTTCCTCCCTTTTTTCTTAAGAGTCTCAGAAGAAAGGTGTAGGCTTGAATCATGTTCACTTGACTGAAGCAGCCCATTCTATAATCTGTCCTGCACTAGCTGCACTGAAGAATTAGCCCCAAACGGGCCAAGTGAATGCTGACACAACCTTTGGAGACTGTAGATGAAGCAGCTCTGCAGCCAAGGTCTGTAACACTGAGAGGCTCCAGGAGGAGGTAGGTGGGAGATCTGTCACCTCCTTTGGCTGGGAGACATAACAATAATTGATCTGGAAAATCATTACACATGGATGAGGCATGTGATAAAGAAAGGATAAGACCATGCCTGAGTCTTGAAAGTCTTTCCCATGCTTCAGCAGAGCATGATGCCAAACCCCACAGGTGTTTGCTTCACAAAACTGGAAAAAAAGGGGTCTACTTTGCTCAAAGACCACTGCAGAGCTGTACAGTAACTTAGCTCTGATGTGCACATTTGAATTATTGTTATATTTGTATTATTTCTTAATATTGTTGAAAAAAACTTCCAGCATTTTTCCCATGGGAAATTCTGAAACTTTTCTTCCACTGAAATCTGGCCAGGGCTCCTGCTGATGGAAAGGTTAATAAAGGAAGTGAGCTATCCAAAGAGCTCTGACATTGTTTATTATATTTTTTTTGTCCACCATGCAGACTTACATTTTAGCCTTCAGGATATCAGGAAATATTGGTGTACCAGCAAAGGGATGGATGTGACCCTCACCATAACTTGGGCTAATTTGGAAATTAAGGGAGAGTTCTGCAGAAGTTGCTCTAAGCTAAGTGTGGTTTATAGATCAAGATTTAGATGCCGAGGACACATTCAATGCAGTCCTTCCCGTTTCATCTCCCTTCTAGTCTTTGCCTGCTCTTTTCTTTGCTTGCTCGTTGAAGCCCTTTCCCTCCCTTTTCCTCTTCGCCTTTTGACAGTTTTGGTGGGTACTGTGATTGCACGAGCAGGCTTTTGGATTCAATGCAACAGAAGTTGACATAAGTTTCCCAGCCAAAGGCCCAATCCTAAATTCTGGGAGTAAGGCGTAGAGTTTAAAATACTGCTGTGCTCCTTTCGGAGATTTTGAAAGTTCAGTCTTTAAAAGAAATGGAATGGCATTTAGTAGTCTGTTGACTTGTCTAAAATTAAATGTAGCATTTCAAAGATAATTGCTATGACAGCTAAATCCAATGAGAAGTGAGAAAATATGTGGCTTGAACAGAATTGCTCTAAAAAAAAGTTTCCAGTGAAAATTCTGCAGAATGCTGCTGATGATAGTTTGAAGCAGCCCTCAAGCTCCTAATTCTTATCAATTGTGAGGCCACTTGAAAGGAAACCTTAAGTCCCTAATAGAGCTGGTCTATGGCAAAAGTTGCTGATGGACTCAAAAAAGGATGCAAATCTTTGTGAGGTTTTGATTTAGAATCTGGAAATTCTAGAATTCTGGAAACGGTCTTTGTCACAAAACTGAGTTTTGGCTTTGAACCTAAACAGTTTTGAATCGTTGATGCAATTGTATAGGTCAGCTTTCTACGTCTTACTAATTTCAAAATAATTCCTGGTTGTGAAAATCAAAGAAAATGTGAAACATTTTCTGCTTTTATTGGTATAAAGGAGAAATCAGACCCCTGAAGAAAGAGATTTATACTTGCATAAAATGATGCAAGAAGCAGAAGATTCAGGCTGTGTAGACTGTATATTTCCCAAAGTGCTATGACATCCACCTAACATGCAGTTTCAGGACTCAGACTTCCTAATTCTTACTAAAGATTTTCTCTCCTGTCCTGTATTCCATCCTGAATTTGTCGTCTTTGGCATTTTTAACAGGGAATATGTCTTATCTGTGTTTGGAAAGTGCTTTCTACATTCAAAGCACTATATAAATCCTTCGTAAGAATCAGAATGTAAACTTTTACCAGCTACAATAACATGAGTGGAAAACTCTTTGTTCATTTCTCAATGACTGACTAAATATTGTCTTTAGTGCTATATTTATAGGAAGTTTCTTTGTATGTGCTTTACTGTAAATGTTATTCTTAAAGGTGGAGTTGGGAAAAACAAAAATTCAATGCAAATCTACTTTTCTTGAGTGTCGGGGATCTTTTCCTAGTTACATTATTTCTTTCAGGCAGATATAAAGTAAGACATAGTAAGAGTGAGTAAAAAGTGCTTTTAATGCTCTGTGAATTTTGGATTTATGGAACCTACCTCGAAAAACATTTTTTGTAATCCAAACATTTTCCAAACCTACTGAAATTGGGTGTTTTCTCAGTATCGAATCTAATCTCCAATAATAGTTTCATCTTTAGGCAAGGATAATTTTAGGTCAGAAGAGCCTGAGGTGATTTATCTGGTGTATTTTCAGAAATTAGAAGTACTGCTTATGGCTACTGTCTTTATATCCTAGCCCTGCACATTGGGCCTGGTGCTGCTTTGGGAAACTCAGAGCCTTTCAGCAGTTGAGGTGGAAGTTGTGTTCAGCCCTGGGTGACTTCAGATGTGACTGGCCACGTTTTATGCTTCCTTTGCCCTCCCTTTGTACATGCTGGTGCAAGGCCTGAGGTTGTGGAAATCGCATCCAATAAATCAATCCGAATCCCTTCACAAAATCGAGTTGCAGGCATGCGTCTCTTCCTGCTTTATTGCTGAGGTTCCTACTGAGGTTTCCTGCTTGTAATTTATTTGACATAAGCTGATTAAAAAGTCATTAAAAGCAATAAAATATCTCCATAGCTAGAATATGATTATAAGGACGATGTAATTATTCATTCGCCATCTTGCTATGTTAATAGAGCAGCTGCACTTCTAATACACCTCAGATCATTCTTGCCCAAACTTGGTCTCCATTGAAAATAAATATTTTGGTTTTTATATCAAGATGACTAATAGAGACTGCTACAGGCAAAGTACATGTAGTTTTCAGCTTTTCTATACATATAAATCATAGAATACTAGAAATATTTCTTGGACAGGAGCTCTGCTGATCAAGTTCAGTCTCCTGTGAAAATTAGGAGGATTGTTAATACTAGCCCAGGTCAGTCATGGTTTGTCTAGCTCAGCCTTGAAAACCTGCAAAAAGAGAGTTTTCATGGTGTCTTTGGGCAAGTATTTCTGGTGCAGCACCACATTCCTACTGAAAAACATCTCTGCACTACTTTGAGTTTTTTAATATCTTTCTAATATTCTGTTACACCCACATGCTGTCTTTGCCTTTTCTTCTTTTTTAATGGTAAGTTCTTTGAAAAGGAAGTTATTTGAAAGGGTAGGACTGTTTGAGAGCTGGAGCAGTAAGCAAGATAGTCTACTGGAAGGGTGCTAATTTGTGTGATAGAGTGGAAGCAGTATATGCTGCTACGTTGCTTAGAGTTCTTCATTTAACAGATAGAAAATAAATGAAATGTGCAGTGAATTAGATGCACACCTCCACCTTAAATACTCTTTAAGCGCTGTAGTCAGTGTGGTTGTTCTAAGAGTTATCTGGCATGATTGCTTGTTCTCCTTGTTCCTCCTGATCTGTAAATAAAGATTTCCACAGGGAACATCAGGCCTTTTCTGCTGTGTTTGTTATGGCTGGGGTATCGCAAGGTCTCTTCCTGGCAGCTGCTTGCAGAGAGCTGCTACCTGAACAGGCATCCCACGGCACACTCACCCGGCATTTACGTGAATACCCTCTCCCAGCTGATGCCAAGGAGCAGCGGTTCCCGAAGGAACGCTTCCCTGAACTTTTGCCACGGGGCTGTCGCTGACCAACATTCCCAAGGATGCCCCTTGCTTGCCAAGGGTGGACAGCTCGGATCTGCCTGCAGTGCTGAGGGTAGGAGTGGAACTGGTGTGGCATTGCTTCGGGGTTTGGCATGGGTGTACTACCTAATGTGATAATCCCTGTGGGTCGATTTGGGACTGTCCTTGGCTAAAAAGCTGTGCTAGGAGGTAAACTTCTGACCTTGTGGGGTTTTTTTTCACCAGAAAATATTTTGGAAAAGAAATAATTGCTATCCTTTCGTAAGCTGTTCCTCACTCCAAGGATTTGGTTCTCCTGTGTGCTGCTGTGGTTTTTAAGAGAAACAGAGAATTCTTCATTTGGCCAAGAAACTGCAGCACAAACAATCGAGGTGGCGCGGCACTGAGGCGGTGGAATTCTTTAGAAAAGGCTCTTTCTATAAGGCCCTTAACTGTGAAGCCTCATTCACACTCCAGTTCAGAACATGAGAAGCTGTAGCTTGTATCTTGCATATTAACTATTCAAGTAACACGCTGAGCAGAAATTATCAAAGCAATGTATAAATGATTTTTTAAAATGATTGCACTTCAGAACTTACTGAGCTAGCTATGAATGGAAAGTGGCATATATTATGTTGAGTGAATTTTTAAGTACTATTTGGTTCAGTGCAAGCATACATAGGGTAAGTATGCACCTACAAGTTGAAACATGCAGTTCTTCATTCTTAACTCTTAGACTTTTGTAAGTGCTTGAGAACATGATTTGTTTAAGGAGCATATAAAAAGGAAGAACTTTTGCTGAGAGAGAGTCATAATCTAATAAATATCACTCTCTGGAGACAGGCACAATTGCACTAAAACCAGAAAAAATACAGATAAATTTATATAATATATAACAATGCGACATTTCAGATTGCACATTTGAAAAAGAGGAAAAACTGGAAAGAAAAAGAAATGTAGATATTATCTAGTATCTCAATGAACTGTAGTGATACTTTCTCACACAAAAGAGTGAAGAGGGTAGCAGATTTGGTTTACTGCCCACCGAATACTGTCTCCAATTTTTAAAGCATCCTGTACTTCCTGCTCTGCATGCTATAATTTTAATATGTCCAATAATTGTCCCTGCAACTCCTTGTGGATTCAAGTGAGAATACACAGACATCTACCAGCCTGATTTGCTGCAATCAAGTAATTGATCATTTGCAGACTATATCCTTATTTGCACCCTATAATTATGTTGAAAGTTATTTGCAAATGCAGAAAAGAAGCCTGTGATTTAAGAGTCATGCCCCAAATGTGCTTTAAAAAAATCAAAGAAAGTGATTTAAGGGCTGCCTAATTTGCAGTTCTGAAAGGG